CCCCAAAACCCCAAAACCCCAAAACCCCAAAACCCCTTAGTTAAAATGTTCAGTTGAAAATGGAAGTAAATATCTTAGATGCCTACTCTACCACTTGGAAACTGTGCAGATAGTCTTAGCATCTGCTTTGGTTCTAAATTTTTATCAATACGGAAACTTACTTAGTGCTAGTACATCTACTTTCCTCATTGGATAGCCTGAATGGAGTCTACTTTCTTTAGAGAGGGGCATTTTCTCTCTTTCTCATCATATTCATGGCTGCATTGAATACTTTTTTAATTCTTGATCTTTTCTGAGGCTTGTTTTGATTCTGCTGAGAGTATTCATCGAAGATACTCTCTACAGATGATATTCTATTATCTGTTTGCTGATCTGCTAGCTCAAATATATCAAAATCCTGCATTCTATCTAGAGCTGCAGATGCTTTTGGATACTCAAGTAATCGATTCAATATAGAGGTATGATTCTTTGAAGAGAGTAATCTTTGCTTGAGCCTTCGTGAGTGCCTTTCGCCATATGGCCTATCGTACTCAATGGTATTATGATGTCTTGCCTGAGAATGATCAAGACTGTTTCTATCAAGTCTTTCTCAAGTATCATTTCTTGAATTATACAGATTAAAGACTCTGCTATGTTTCAACTCAAATTTCTTTTTATTACAAAGTTCTATTACCTCAGGATCTTTATGAACAGTTCTCTCGAAGGAAGAGTATCTTGAACATGAGGTATACTCTTCCGGATGAGAAATGGTCTTTCTCCCAAGAGAAGAGGATCTTGAATAGGTTGGTCTTTCTTGATAAGCATATGGAGAAGTTCTAATGTCATAAAGTCCTCTTAAACTATTTCCATAATACCTAGACCTATTGCCATTGACTCCTGGGGCAGCGTTACTTTTGTCTTTAGCCTCACAGAGTTTATTAATTGCATCTGTTAGTTCTTCAATATTTTTTTTAAATACCATAATATCATTCTTGTACTGGCTAACCTGTTTCTCATTCTGAGCTTTTTCAATTCTAATTTTAAGTGCTTTTCCTCTAAGGTCCTTAACTTCTAAAATGAATTCGTCAGAAATTTATGTGAATATTAGCATGATCTTACCTTCTTTCAGGACATGAAGGTCATCCTTCAGTTCATCAAAATCTTCTTTCCTCACTTTGATTTCTTCATTGATGATCTCGATTCTATAAATTAAGCCATAGTGAAGCTACTCTTTATTAAGAACATCGATATCTCTAATCCTGAGGTCTTCTTCCCCAATCTTGGTATCAAGCTGTTCAGCATCTTTCTTACTTGTGCTAAGAATGAGCTCGAGGCTTTCTATTTCTTGCTTCTCAGAAATCTGTTTAGCTTGTTGCTCATCCTCAAATTCTTCAATTTCAGTTTCCTTTTCATTTGCAGACGCTTGTAATTTACGCCCATCCTCTTTGAGAAGAGCTAGTTCTTTCTTTAGCTTGTCAAAGCGAGCTTGCATCTCATCTTCCTCATTTTGTTTGGTAGACATAATTTCTAGCAACCTCTGGAGATCAGCCTTGCGATCTCCTCCTTGGAGGTTTTGTAGCTTAGTCTTAGAATCAGCTATTTTTTGGGTAAGAGAAACGATTCTTTTCTCGGTTTGACTAAGCTGCAGCGCTCTGGATTCTTTTTCCTTCTCTTTGTTAGTTTCATTGGATTTGAAAGTTTGGATTTCAGACTGGAGAATTCTAACTTCATCCTCCCTTATTGATAGAATTTTCTTGAGTTCTTCATTATCAAGATTGATTTGGCGGATTGGACCCTCATAATCGTATTTAATACTGCTAAGATGATCGTTAGGGATCAAATCTCGGATAAAAATAGTAAACGAATGGAGATATCTTACCTTCTCACAACCTTTGGAGCATACCTGTGATCTGTATGCCTATACTTACTACCTGCATAATATCTAGATCCATAGTAATATTCATCATATCCCCTCCTCTCCATTTACTTAACTATTTATTTACTATAAATAAAACCAAACCTGGGGTTTTGGGGTTTTGGGGTTTTGGGGTTTTGGGG